TTAGGGAAATGGCCTTGTGAAAGAGCTACAATGCTGTGATTATAAAACATGTGAGAATTAGGTATTGTGTAGGCTTCATCTGGTTTGATTAAACACTTTTTCTTGGGGGAAAAGAATCTAAAAAAATTGAACTTAATTAGTACAAATTTACATAATTTTAGACAAACATAAAATACCAAATCAGAACATAAAAAATATTTTATAAACCTCTATGGTAATTTTTATTTTTGCCTAGAAGTGACTAGTTGTTGACTCACCAAGAGGTAGCTAGAAAATGACCAATTATTAAAGCTTATTATTAATAGTTCACTGGCCTTTTAAGATTTCTTTGAACAATAGTTATGTATAGAGGTAGAATGTTATGTTTCCCCCAAATTGTTGAGGAAATTCCCAGTTGAAAGAAAAATGTTTATTTAAAAGTTAATTGACCAGAAAAGATAGTTTGCAAATTCTCTCTAGAGTAAATTATTTCAGTAGGATTTTGTTATATTTTAATAGCTTTGTTAAGAAGTTGATAAAGATGTAGAAAACATGAACATAAAATTTTCAGTGTAGGCAAATTAATAAGGAAATAATACATCAGAATACAGGGTCCACACTCAATATAATAAGCTAAAGCTATTAGGTTCTTCCACTGTGTATCTGCTCTCTCACAACTCCATTTTTTTCCTATAGGACAGAGGGTATTGTAATATAATAGCATTTCATGTGAGAAGATCTGTATGTTGTAAACTCAGGATGAGCCATTATGTGACATAGTCACCCCACAACGTAACACAGATGGAATAAGCACGTCATGTCTTCAGTGAGGGAAATGATGGTCTTCAGTACTGCTCTCTCCCGTTAGTCTGCACAGAGCATGTGGTGAATTCTGGTGAATTGGGAAAGGTCACTGAGATGACATGAAAACCATATAAGGGATTTTATAGGCACCTACTTGTGTTTAGCATGAAGAAAACAAAATTGGTCTAGGAAGTCATTCCACTTTTATCTTCAGTGTTTGAATGTCTGTCTTAGGTATATCTAGAGTACCCTGCCCAGTAAGTGGAAGTTATAGAGACACAGATTTCATCTAAATGTAAGAAAACAAAATAGAAGCTTTGACAGTGGAATAAGCTGCTGTCTCTGAGAAAATTCAAGCTGTGGTCAGGGTTGTGGGTAGACACTGGGTGGATGGGGGGATGTGGGGTAGGCTGTTTTAATTTTCCAGTTTTCAAAGTATGTTTTAGTGAATCATTTAGCAAAATAAATTTAGCAAAGTATTTATTCAGAACTAAATCCTTTTTTAAAAGACTCAGATATATTTGCCATAAAACATAGTCCTTGTCTCAAACAAAATTTCACTTTTGTGATGATTAACAATGCAAAGTAATGTAACTGCCCAAATTACTTTCAATTTGTTCTCCATACTTTATTCAGTGTGATCATTACTTGATACTTATGTCCTCATACCACTTCCCTGCTTCAAACACAATCACTCTGCACTAATTTTAGGATAAAGGTACACATTCTTAACGTGGCCTCCCAAGGCCAGCAAAGTCTACCCCCACCTGCTTCCCTTCAGGTGTATGTTGTTATCACTCTCCATGTTCAGCCCAACCACACTGGATTACTAGTAATTTCTCATACATAGGCTAAACCATGTCCCCATTTGCTACACATCAGTTCTCATGCTGTTTTTTCAATTATTTCTTTCCTATACCTAATTCAATGGCATAAGTATCTTACGTTAAGTATTTCAAAGTCATTCAACTCAATTTTTTTCCTTTTTATTGAACTTATTGGGGTTACATTCAGGTGTCCAATTCTATAACACGTCATCTGTATATTGTATTGCACGTTCACCGCCCCAAGTCAGGTTTCCTTCCTTCACCATTTGTCCTCCCTGTGTCCTCCTCTACCTCCCCCAAACTCCTTTTCCCTCTGCTAAAGACCATACTGTTGTCCGTGTCTGTTTTGTTTTTTTATCTTTTCTGCATGGATGGCCTTCTCGTTCCTTGATAAGGCCTGCTGTTACCCTCTATGCCTCAGTTCACTTTTAACTTAAGCAAGGAAGTGTTTTGAACCTTCCTGTTGAGATCTCATGTCGTGTTATACATGCTCATACTCTGTATTTCTCACTCACAGCATCGATCACTGTTACAATTTACCTTTGATTGTGTAACTATTTGATTCAATATCTGCTTCCCCTATTACAATACAACCATCCTAAGGCAAAAGTCATTTTCTGTCTTTGGTTTGCTGTTGAACTGGTGCCTTGGAGTATGTGCACATCACAGTAAGTGAGTTGAATGAAAAATGCAAACGACACACTTACTGTGAAGCACAGAAGAGAACATTTAGACAAGGGATAGGATACAGTGACCCTAAGGCAGTAAGTTAATTTTATATAGTGCTTGTGTTTTTATTAAGGGGCAGACTTGAGATAAGAAACAATGAGTTTGAGATTTGGGAAAAATGACCATCCACTTGATATGCCTGGATGGTATGTTCTTTTATAATTTGCTTCAAATGGAATTATTTTCTTACAATTGTCTATGGGACTGCCTTGGTTTGTGCTGCTATAATGAAATAGCATAGACTTGGGCGGCTTAAAGAAACATTAATTTTTCATGGTTCTGGTGACTGGGAAATTGAAAATCAAGGTACCAGCAGATTCATGTTGGGTGGGGCCCTTTTCCTGGTTTGCACAGCCCTCTTCCTGCCGTCTCCTCACATGGAGAAGAGGCAGCGATGTCTCTCCCTCCTCTGTATGGGCACGAATCATAACACGGCCTGATTACCCCCTAAAGCCTCCACCTCCAAATACCGTCACATTAGAATTCAATGTACAGATTTGGTGGGGACACAAACATTATATCTACAGCAAGGACTAAGCTATGTTTTATTAATATATAAAATCTATTTTTAGTTTTAAAAATTACATATGGAATGGGCAATTAAGTTTCAGAAACTTTGACAGGCAGGATTTTAACCATGAAAGTGTCACTGCTATTTAGTGACAGCAAACCTGAATGAAACGCAGAAACTGGACTAGCAGGTTAGTGCCCCTTGGAATGGTGAAACGCATTATTCACACAGAGTGGGCAGGGCAAAAAACTTAAGGCTGTCATTTCTTTTTAGTGAACATTTGAGGCAACTTATTCTTAACAAGGTCACGAATGAATGATGACCACATGAGACAAATGCTGTGGTCTGCAGGGCGTCCCCCCGTAAGTCAGTAGGTGACTGTGCCACCTGGCTGGGGTCTGCCTCTGTTTTCCTCACTCCCTCCACTGTTTCTGAATGAGGGGATTTGTACTCTGGTAACCTAATGAAAAATTTTCATCTCAGTTTAAAGAACAAAGTATTTTCTGGAAAAAACATACATGTGGAAATGAGTTCTTGGTAAAATTTCCGGTTATGTTTTGCAGCATCTGAAGGAAGAAGTGGAATGCCAAAATAAACCCCATCTATCCCAAGGGGACACTTAATGTCACTTTGAATTAAATTACTGTGTAGTTTAATGTAAACACAACAATAAAACACTTCCAGACACAAAAATATTTAGAAAATGAAGTATAAGAATTTTCTTTAGTCATTGAACCACAATGGAAATTTGGATAACTTATTTGTAAGTCCTAAATTTAAATATGTCCTCTTAAGTCCTAAATTTAAATATGATAGATTTTAGCTGATCTATTTTAAATAAATTATTATCCTGATACATTAAAATTGCAGGTAAAAAATATCTAAAATCTCTTGAGTTAAAAATTTTTTTATGTACAGATGTCAGATCAAAAGAAAGAAATGTTATTTTATTTCTCTGGAGGCCTAAACAACAGAAATCTGTCACTTTCAAAGGATAATAATTTTGCTGGTTGAGGTGAGAAAGTTATATTTAACATTTTTTCAGGTAGTCCAGAGACCTGTCTCCTTAAAGTGCTGAACTCATAGTGTAGAAGTGGCCTAATTGGAAATATTAATTACTTTTTATACAAGTCAATGGAAATTATTGCTTTCCTGACACTATTTATTACCTCTCTCCCCTTCAGGGACAGTATTTCATATGTTGACAATAAATAATGTGTAACAAAGTTGCTGTTTTGCCAAATGTTAAGCTGGAAATCTCAGGGGCATGCACTATTTCAAAAGAAAAGCATCTGACTTACACATATTTCTTAGCCAATGTCCTTAAAATAGTAGTTTTATGTTTATTTTTGGAAAAGTGTAGAGACATGACCCTGTCTCTTGTTTTCATGTGATAACTACTCGTGTGAAGTCTGTGATTAGCACCTGCCAATAACAGATGACAGTCTGGCAAGAGTTAATTGCCAAAAAGTGTTGCATCAATACCAACGGGGACTGATGTTTTGAAAAATATGTTGTGTGATGTGGTTTTGATTAGCTTTGCACAGGGCACGGCTGATCTGGGACCACTCCTAATTTTGGGTCAGAGTCGAACTCTAGAGTTGTGCTTAAGGCTGAAAGATGGGTAGAGTTACCATGGTAAGGTGAAGAGTTTAAAGGCAGGTGCTGGTGTGGAAGAGGGCTGTGTGGAGGCACACAGTGTTCCAGAGAGAGAATATCAACTATAATACAAAAATTAAATAGAACATAAATAGAAAGCTTTGTTTGAAATTTTTGACACCTTATCGACAAAGCATTCAACAGTGCACCAGTGTGGAAGTGGAGAATATACTGAGGCTTTCTAGGGCTTTGAAACCTAGAACAGCATGGTGGGGGCAGAATAAGAAATTGACCTTGTGGTGGAAGGATGTACTCAGATTATTATAACACTTGTAGAAATGAGAGGCGACTAGCTTTTGTGGCAGCACAGAGCAGAAAGAGACCAGTTTCTCTTGGGAGTTTTTGGTGAGAGGAAAGTGGAAGGTTATTCAAGACTCTTGAAGGAGTCGCCATGACCATGATCCTCAGAGGAGGAGCAGCGTGGGGTCTGTGCATGTTTGCAGCTTGCATTTGTCTCTGACTCTGTTTTGACCCTTGCCTTATTTGTTCAGCTAGGATTGTGTCTAAGCAGAGCCTCTGCATCTGTCCTTAACCTCAACTGCAGCCTTATCCTTTTACCCATGTGCCGGACACTGCTGGCCTACCTTCGAGGATCCCAGAAGGTAAGAACAATAAAATTATAGTCATAGATTGCAACATAGAAATCAAGTGTAACTGTGGCATGTTAGTCCTACATAGTTTTCATGGTCTGCCTTTCTGCTAGAATGGTTACTTCAAAGATGACAGTAGAGACCATGTCACCTTTCAGGAGGATCACTGAGCTATTTTAGATAAGTAACATTAAAGGCAGAGGTTAATAAAAAAAGGTATTAACAGTGGTATCAAGCACTGTGCTAAGCACTTCACATATGTAATTGTGAATCCTCACAATGACTCTGCAGTCGGGTATTACAGATGAAGAACCTGAGGCATACGGAGTTTGAGTAACTTGAGGGTCGTGAGACTGGTGAATGTCAGAACTAAGGCAGTCGCAGTTCTGGGCTCCCTTCACTGCACCATGCCACACTGAGATTAGTTAAATCTCACTCAGTTAAACCCAGGTGAGCAAACATAAGCCCTAAGGCTATTGAACAATAGATTGAGTGCCAGTGTTTGTGGCAATTTATCTCTTAAGGTGAATAACTTGTTTTGAGCCATGTAGGCTTAGAGAAGGTGTCTTGATTAAATAGTGATGTCATGTGTGGCTATTCAGTGGTGTAAAATAAAGTATATAAGAAAACAGCAAAAACAAACAAACAAGCAGAAAAAAAAAACAACAAAAAACAAAGACACTGAAATAGAGAATAAGGGGATAGTGACCAGAGGGGAGAAGGAAGGGAAGTTAAGGGGAAAATGGGGGAGGGATTTGGAGGAACAAATAGGAAGGACACAGGGACGAATAAGGGGGTAGAAATGGGAGGGAGGTGGGGAGCAAGGGGCGGGGGAGGCTGGGATGGGAAAAATAGACAAAAAACTGTACTTGAAAAATAACTAAATAAAATAAAAAAAATAAATAAAAAATTAAAAAACAGCAGCACTTTGAAAGTTAAAACTCAACTGGATTTCTTTTGTCTTCAGTTACCCTCCTCTGTGTGTGTGTGTGTGTGTTATATGCATGTTGTCATTCCTTTCTTTGCTAAATAGTAAGGCATTGTTGGATAGGTACTGATACTTATTTTATTTTGATATTGATATTTTATGAGGAGTTGTTAATGTGAGGTCCCTTTGATGTCCTGTGAAGTTTATAGACCTGGAATTACTACAGCAAAACTTTTCAATCCCTTTTTATGTAATTGTATTTGGAAAGTCTTTATCTTTAATGTGGTAATTTGTGGAAAGAACTCTTGGTTGCCAGCCATTTTAAAATGCTGGGTTTTGATCCCTGTGGTTGGCCATTGACTTGAAGTAAAGAGAGAAAAGATAAACAGCAGTAAAAGAAAAGGACCCATCTGAGTTTCTCAGTAGTTAATGTCTTAAAGGATTTTCCCCTAGTGTGAAACATAGGTATTCAAAGATGCTTGACATTTTATTTTTCTTAAAATCAAGCAGGCATTTAAAACCATAAATGAAATTGCTTTATTTTTTTAAAGTCTTATGTTTTTTTACTAGGAAAAGAAATCATATAGAGTCTGGCACAAATAATGCCTCCTTTTTACTACTGAGTCTTTTATTACCAAATCATAAGCATGTAATTCTGTAACAGAACAATACCACACTCAAACACACCATATGACATTTCAAGTGAAATGTTCAAATTAAAGCTATAAATTATTACACCCACATTATTACCCCACCAACCACACTCAAGCAGGTGTTACTTCTGCTGGACCCTATATATATATAGTACAATTTAAACATTCCAGAAATATGTGAAGTAATTAGTGAAGGTTTCCTTTAAAATTACTCTGCCAGTGCAACTGGTGATTACAATTTGGGGTAAAGGCCTACTGATATGTTAACATATAAATTAAATGATATAGGATTTGTTTTATAACTTTTTTTACCTAACAATATATGTTGTACATTTTCCACATTAATAAATCTTCTTAGATTCTGTGTAATGGTTTGAGTGTGCCATTGGTTAGCTATATCGTAATTCATCTCACTACTATTTAATTGGTAGACTTCTGCCATATTTCTAAAACATTAATATTATAAACAGTGTTACAGTGAAAAGCTTTGTGCATATATCTTTTTTGCTGTGCCATTTTTTACAAGATTAAGTGATTTTTATTTAGGTTGCAAGCAGGAGAACCAGAAGATTGTTGGATAAAAGCAGAACATTCCATATAACTTGCGGTGTTACCATCTGTATTTTCTCAGGTGAGAAAACCAAAAGATGTGGAATAGTATTTTATAATAATACATTTTATAAATGCTTTTTTTTATTATTCTCTAAATTATCATTACCACCAACTTGTGATTTCCTGATGTAGCTTAGTTTTCTCTTTCATGTTTTTCAAAAGAGTTGCCTAGTCGTGCTACAGAAAAAAGGTGTCTTATACAATGTTTCTTATAAAACATTGGCGTCCAAGCTGATAAGGATTATTTCCCAAAAGTAAATAATTTCATTTAAGAAATTGGAAGAAACAGACTAAAAGTTTTTAAGCTCTAATAATATGACAGGGGTTTAAATGCATCAGAATTAGAATGCAAAATGTAGATTTGTTGAATATGATGCCACTTGAAACTTTATGTGATAAATGCTTCTTTGATAATAATATTGAATACTTGGCTAGTGGAGCACATATTTCAAAAATTTGTGGAAATTTATCCTGTTCAATTGCAATTAAAATGATAAAGTGAGAATCTTTTGGTTTTTAAGAATCATATTGCACAATATTATTGTGCAATATACAGATCATGTATCATAGAGTTGTGCCCTTGAAACCTATGTGGTTTTATTAACCAATGTCACCCCAATAAAATTTAACAAAAAAAAGAAAGAAAAAAGTCAGTTTAAAATAAATTGTTATCCTGAGTGTTTATATAATACTTAAAAATTTTTAGAACAAAAAGCAATAAGTATATTACGTATGCAGACTCTGGAGATGGAATGTCTTTATCGCCAGCGCTCTTCCGCCTTACTATGTGACAGGCAGAGGAGAACGTGCATATGAAGTCCTTAGGGCAGAATTTGTTATTATAATTTGCAATCCTAGGGATTAATTATCGCAGTGGCATAGCCCCAGACATTTTTATCTGGTTGTTACTTGTTAGACATTTGGTTTGGATATTTATGTAAGACCATTTTAATCAGGAGTGTTTTAATATAGCTACTACCAAGCAATTTTAAAAGTTCAGCTTTTTAAAAATTGCTAAGTATTTCTTTACTGTTCTATTTCTGAACATCTGTCTTCCTATTGGTAGTTCCCACCTATGGAGGTGAGAGATGGAGAGAGGCTTAGGGATGGGATTAGAACTCCAGTGCAGCTTGAGTCCAGGGATGGAGTAAGAGTCTAGGAAGAGGTGAGGCCCAAGGGTGTGATAAGAGTTAGGGATGGATCGGAGCCAGGAAAGGTGAAAGGTCAGGAATGGCGGGGGATCATAAAATGTTAGCTGCTCTAATTTTTTTTTCTTTTGAGTCCAAATATTCTAGTTCAGTTGGAGAACAACCAAGAGCCTGAGACAGTGTAGCATATTGCCTTGAATGAGCATATTTTCCAGGGGGTCTGCATTCTGCCACTGGCTAGTGCTCTGACCTCGGCTAAATTACCTTTCTAACCTTAGTTTGCATATCTGTAAAATAGGTATGAGTTTATCTACCTCATTGTTTTATTGTAAGAATTAAATGAGAAAATCGATACAAAGAGCCTGGCATAGCTTTCTCCTTGCTCACCAAAGTTAGAGTCCCTCGATTCTTTAGACCTAAAAGACCTTTTAAAGAGGGTGAATGTACTTCTTAAGCATGCATTTCATACAGCTACTTCCTAGGACTTTTATTTAGAACTCAGAGAGAATGACAATTCCACTGAGGAGCCTTTACACTTTTGAGTCATAAAGTATGTAGTTAATATACAAACCTTTAATTTTAAATAAACATTTTTTTACTAGTTATTTCTGAAGCGGTGAAGGTATAAGACACAGACAGGTTTGCTTAAATGGTGTTTTACACCTGTGCCAAAGTTGAGTCTCACCTAACATATCCTTTGTTTCATTTCTTTGAAACCTTCTTCTTGCTTGTTAATTAGTTTCCTATTTACCTTTTATGAGACCCTCTTCCCACTACATCACTGGCAGGAGCTTTTAAATAATTTTAGGTTATTTAGAATTCTAGTCCTCTCTCACTTTGATTTGTCTTTCTGAGTAATTCAGAACTCTTGGTGTCTCTATATCTCATATGCTAGGTTTGAGGGGATTATAGAGCTTTCTAATTTCTAAGCCATGTCTTCTTTTGAATCAGTCCCTCTATACATTTGTGTAAACTCTAATGATTTACTAAGCAATTTTGGATCACTTATCTTTAAGCCTCTTATTTTTGTCATTTTATAGAGAAGTAACTTGAGGTGCTGATAGGCAAGCAAAACAAGCCAAGAAAACAGGTTCCCAACTAATTATCTGTTGTTCTTTCCCATACATTATAATATGCTGTTAATTCAAACCGTATTTCACCTACCAGAAAAGGCTGGAAAGGAGGAGGGCATTATAATTCAATACACAAGGTCATTTGCTTCTTCCTTGTCCAACCTCCTCAAGATAATTGTCTTCATTCCTTGACATGCCAGCATGAACTTGTCTTCTACTCTTTAGTAATCTTCTAAAACTTCTTTATCTTGAATGAGCTCTGAGTCAGTTGAGCACTCTGTTTATTGTGCCACTGTAGACAGATAATTAAATGGTATTTATTATTTTCCTGAGTGTTCATCACAAGGTTACCAACACTTTTGCTATTGGGTTTAGGACATTATGATTTTAATGTATAGATTGTGAAAAATTTTCACTAGTTAAAAGCCTTTCAGTCAGCCTATATATTAGGTGGAGTGGCAGTAAAGTATACAAGATACACAATGGACTTGGAGTTATGGGAGGGGGGGAGGTGTGGAGCATCTGAAATATCCCAGAGCTGCTTCAGTAAATAAGCAATGCCCGTATTATTATATTGCTGCTTTTGTAAGTGTATGTGTGTGTGCACATGTGTATTTTTTTCTAACCTTGACTTACTAGGGTTATTTTATTCTAGCCTTTGAAAATTCAGTTTTTTTTTACATGATTTTAAGCCTGAAACTGTATACTCAGGATTGTTTGTATCTTTAAAATTCCCCTTTTAAATGTAATATTTTATTGCTGACATAACTGTCAAAGTTTGGCCCTGTGTTTACTTAGAGAGAGCAACTGACTCCTCTTCCTAGAACGTCTCTGAAAATCCTTCTGACTTGCACTTTGTGCGATTCTGTAGGGGTGCACGCAGCTGCCCACCTGGTGAATGCCCTCAATTTCTCAGTGAACTACAGAGAGGACTTTGTTGAACTGAATGCAGCAGCATACCGAGATGAGGTGGGTGGTCTCTGTCTTGTTTTTCTTTAACTAATTGTGAGATGACTAATGAGGGCCTGTGATTGTCACGGAAGGTTTGTACCTTGCTGCTTCTTTTGAGTGCTCTTAAATGCAGTTGTCAAGTAGAGTTTTATTCCTTTTCAACTGGAAATATAGGTAATTACTGTTTCACAGTCTCTTCTGCGGAAAATTGGGGGTTCAGAGAGTATCTACTTTTTATTCTGCCTTGTTCAGATGGCTGCCACTCAGACTTGCCTTCTGCCTGCCAGCAGCTCTGGTCTAATTCCTTTCGTGTTGTGGAGACGGTTTGCACCCATTCCAGGGTGCAAACCCAGCAGTAACCCAGATACTGTGCTTGGGGGAAACAGGACCGAAGAGCCAGCTGACAGTTTGAGGACCCTGGATAATCATTTTATTTGACTTAAAAAATATTATTGAATTTTAATGGTTCATTCATACTTTTTTTGATCCTTGAAGTCAATGATCTTGAGCTGAATTTTGTAGCAAGCAATATCTGACATAAGGTTGCTTTTCTCCACGTGGAGCTGCCCATGAAGTGAAATTCTATGTGTAAGCTGCCAGGCCAGAGCCTGAGAAACAGCACATGCACAAACCTGGTTAGGTCTGTGTCGCTCAGTGCTTCAGCCTGTCCTCAGGCTGCCCTTGCTTCAGGATGAGACTGCATTAACACCCAGCTGCTCTGTTTGCTGTTTGTTCAGAACCCTGTCCTGTTCTGCTGAGTCTGGTAGTGACTTAATAAGATTATTCCTCATTTTCTCCCACTCCGCTGTCTCCTCCATACATCACCAGACTTGTCTAGATTAATACTGTTTATGTGTTTGTCTTGCCTCCTGAAACAAAACAAAATAACGACAGACAGAAACAAATGATAAAATCCCAAAGAGCAAGCAACCTTTCATAAATCCTTTGACTATGCTGTTTTCTATTTATTTTTTTCACTAAAAACACCGATATGATTTAATTGATCTGGATTGGGGTCAGGCGTGGTTGTTTTTAAAGGACTCACCCAGTGAGTTTAGTGTGTGCGCAGCATGAGGAAGCACTGGGAAGTCCAGCTTCTTAGCACACCAGTGGGAGCTCTTCGCATGTAACCATCTCAGCCCAGAGCTTACCACTGCCCGCACCCAATCCTCTGCAGTTTCCTGTTCTAAACTTTTCCTTCTCTGCTTCTTCTGTTTTATAATTCATCTCTTTAATAACTATGATGTTTATATTATTTTATTGTAACATGCTTTTGCTTACTATTTCAGAACTATTAGTCATTAAATTTATTTCCTTTTAAGAGGGGGTTATGCTCAGTATAAAATAGTTTAAAACTCCCAAGTGTATAAAAAGCGAAATCTTTTCCTCCAAAAATAGCCACAGTTAGTAATTTTCTGTTTTCTCTTCAGATGTTTTAAGTGATATTCTATGGTAATTATTTCTTAGCAATTTGCTTGTTTCCTTAAATATATGCACATGGCTTGCTATATCAGAAAGTATAAATGAATCCTATTCCCATTATATTAGTAGGCTATAGTTTATTTTTCACAGATGTATAGGTTGATTTCTAGTTTTTGGTATGACCCATACACCAATAAATGAATTTTTTTTGTATACTACTGCTAGGCAAATTCATAGAGGTAGAATTTTGGTTTCAAAGTTATACTCATTTTTAGTTTTAATGAATTTTGTTAACTTTCACAAAGGCTTCACCAGTTGACACACTTAACTATTAAGTTTATCAGAGTGCTTATTTCTATATCTCACTTAAAAAATGTCAATCCTGATGGATGAAAAAGGTAACTAATTATTATATTTCCCCTTTTCTTTATTTTCTTCCTTCCTTTCTCTTTTTTCTTCTCCGTCTCTGGCAATGTGCTGTGTAAAGATGAAAAAATATACACAAACTTCAGGCATAAACAGATATTTGAAAATGATGGGTTTGTGCCACTCACCTCATTATTACTTGGTGCTTTCACTCTGCCTCCTCCATATCTTCAGTGATCCATCTTCCAACGTGCGATGGTGGAACATTCTTCATGGCCTCGCTGAATCTGCCTTATCATGTCATCTGTGAAACCGTGTCTTATACATTCCATCTTTATTCTATGACAATAGTCATTGTTACATCTCTGAGTTTCCGTAGCTATTTATTCCATTCTGTTCAGCTTGTGTTCTATTTTTCGTAGTTGTTTGTATGCTAGATTATTCTACCGTATCCTTTAGCCAGGTATAGAAGTCATTTGGGCTAAGTCAAATGAAAAGCTATTCCTAGGCAAGGGGTCTTCATGCAAGGCCCCTGAAATTGTATCATATAAATAACTTCTTACTTTGTATATACCTGACCTGGTCCTAGACTCAATGGAGGCATGGGAAAGAAATTCAAAAGTTGCATTATTAAGCATCATTAGGATGAAAAATAAACTCACAAATGTCCTGGGGATTAATCTAAGTTTCCAGAAGGTAGAAAAGCATTTGACTAAGGTCTATTACACCATGAAAGATGTAGTAAAAATAAAACACTAACAGTACTAATGTTTTGCGTTTCTGAGTAATAGGAACCTCTCCTTATTTGTCTTCACCACTTTTTATAATATTTGAAACATAGGTTCTCAATTAGTATTCTTTGCACTGAGTGTACAGTGTATAACTCCTCCTATATATTTTATGACTTTTGATTCCCACTGTTTTAACACATTGTAGGTGCAATTTGGTAATTGTGGTATTAATATTTCCACATTATAGCCAAAATATTGAGTTTCAGTTTGGTCAAAGGGTGGTCTTCAGGCCACTTCCCCTAGCTTTTAATTAGCCATTCCGATGAAAGCCTACACCCTCTGACTCCACATCTAGTGCTCTTTCTTCCTCACATGGATGGACTTCTCTGGGTTGGACTCGTACTTTTTATATTTGTAGTCCCTTAGCATCATGCAGTCATTATAAGACTTGAGTCTTATTTCCATTGGGAGACTACATAGATCTTATACCCAACCAAATTTTTGGTAGAATTTTATATCATCAATGTTTTTATCTTTCAGTCAAATATTTCCAACCCCCTTTTTTTTTCAGGATCCCAGAATTCTTCTCTTCACAAGTGGTAAGTTGTTATTCATTGCTCTTTCCTTAAGATTCAGGAAAATCTTTGAAAATAGGCCTCATCAAATTGTATAGCCATTAGATATATATTAAAATATAAAATATTTGCCTATCAGAAGTGTAGTGCAACTGTAAAGTTGCAATGAAAACAGAGAGGCAAGGCAAACAGTTGGGGTTCGGATGAGTAAAAGTAAGTAAGTGCATTTGTCTTTTATACATTCTCCCAATGAAAGCAGCACAGCGGCACACGCTTACCGAGGGCCTGCTTGGTGCACACTGCGGTGCACGTGCTGTTGGAGATGATGCATAGGCGGTAGGGTCCTGCCCTCCAGGGCTGGAAAGGAACACCAAGCACTCTGAGCATCAGTGCAGTTCTTACAGCTCAGTAACTTAGAAGGATATTTTGTGATTTTTAAACTTACATGCAAGAGATGAATCAATCATTAAAATCAATTATTTTTTCTTGAAATACGTCTCCTTTGTTATTTGTAATTTACTTTTCCTTCTCAAGTGTATTGTCCATGAAATCTTGGTCTAGACAGTTAATTTGTTATTCAAAGTACCTTGGAATATCCCCAGATTTTGCCCTGATGTTAGTAAGATTTGTACCAAAATTCTTCTTTTTTTTAACCTTATACTAATGAAAGAAGAAAACTTTCTTCTGTTTTGGAGGCTCTTTAGCACATATTTCAGGGATTAGGACAAGTGGGCAGTTGGAGAGGTCTCTAAAGGCCTGGCTGTAGGGATCAGAATTGCGTATGGGACTGAACTGTGGCCTGTCAAATGCATTGTTTTTCTTTTCAATTAATTTTATGATTAAAAGTAACAAGAAATCAGGTGTTTTCTCCGTCCATGTCTCAACTGTACGTTTAGATTTGTAAAATACATTGTGTCTCTGTCTTAGGACATTTGCCACTTGCAAAGCATTTCACAGTTTTCTCTTTAGGAATGTAGCTTAGTTTTGTTTACAACTTTGCTCATTGAAAACAGGCTTTTACTGAAATCTCAAGAATTGGATGAGAAATAGAAAGGAGAAAAAGCAGAAAAATAAAACCTTATGTATGGATCAATATATTTTTTGGTTCATATGAATTAATTTAAGAGAAAAAATAAGAAATTTGTTCTGGTGTTATTTTCTACAGCACACAGGATAGTTGAAGCCATGGAACATTTGAACTGTTTGTAAAAGTTTAGTTTACAAAGATACAAAGAATTTCTCATACGACAAAGGTATTGCATTAAGAAACTTAGTGTGATTAATACTTCCATAAACAGGTGATCTCTCCACCTAAGCATAACACGCCACCACCTTTGCTCTTTCCCAGAGATTCCCATGACTGATGTTGGACTAAGTAGAGATGATACTTAAAAACACAAATTTCCCGGATCCATCCTAGAGAGACTTTTGTTTGTTTGTTTCTTTTTAGTTTTTTTAAAAAATTATTTAATTGTTGTTCAAGTACAGTTTTCTGTCTTTAACTCCCATCCCAGCCCACCCCCAAGTGCTCCCCACCTCTCTCCCATTTATCCTAGAGAGCCTTGTGGTAGGAACCGGCAATGTGCTTATTAGCCTTCCCATTTACCTTGGGAGCTCCTGTCTTACTCTTTCAGGGCATCTCATCATACTCTTGAGCATAACTTCTCACTACCACCTGCATTTCGCCTACCCTCTTGGCTTACTGTCTTTTTATCACCTGGTCAGCTCCTGCTCAACCTTTTATCTTCAGCTGACTTTCACAAATCGAGCTTTCTCCCACCCTCTGCCCCCTATTCCACTAAGCAGAGCTTGCCCTTTCTTTGTCTGGATTCCTAAAGGTACAGAGTAAAAATGCTTTGTAGCCCAATAATTTATTTCCTTGCATATACTATCTTTTCCACCTGAATATGAGCTTTTCCAGGGTGGAGCAGGACTGCCCCTGGGACATTCAAGGCCCCTGGCAAATATTTTTGTTCTGTCAGTACAGAACCACTTGCATCTGCCCGAATCAGCATGTCAGCATCACCTTAGTGGCCCAGTCTACGTCCTTCTATGAAAGCAAAAGCCATCTACTTCTCAGGTCTTCAACTTAAAGTACCTGTGGGACCCCCTAAGTATGAGTCTAGAACTCCTTGGGCATCTGATTGACCCCACTGAACAGTAGCAGGTGAGAAAAAAGGCAAAATCTAAGGACAGTAATGGGATGAGTGACATAGCTTTCTACAAAGACTTAATCTAGCTTAATCAGGCTTAATCAAAGACTAACACATCTCTGGCTAAAACTCTTATTGCTGTCACTGAGTGTTATCAGACACAGCGCCTTGGGAAAGCTAAGTTCCTGATGAAGGAGTGCAGCTTGCATACGTGCTCTCAGCTTTTCTTGTGAGAAAGAATGTTTTTTTCTTAGTTGACTTGGTTCTTGGATTTTAATTTATTTAGTGTTACATAGTCTTCTCTCTCTGTCTTTAAATGTTTTTCAGTGTAACCTATGTCTGAGAAATTAAGATTGTCTTACAGAAAATAAAGCTTTTGGTAGTACAAGTGACATAAAATATGGTAGTTAGTCTCAGTAAATAAGAAATATTAAAAAAATCCAATTAAGAATTTAGAAAATAAAATAAGTTTAAAAGGTGGGATTATTCAAGCATTCATTTGAAAATATTTACTACATATTGCCTAATTTGCTAGTGCCTCATATGATGAGAATAAAATGCACAATATTTCTTTTAGTCATAAACAAATACATTTATGTTTCCAGTTATGTGAGAAGAAAACAGGATAAGGACTACAAGATGGTGTATTTCTGGCCATATCTAAGTGTGGAGGGAAGTGGTCTCAGTTTCATCTAGAAATGGCAGTACAGTAAAATCATTCATTTTAAAGGCTACTTATTATTCAATATAATATGCATAGGTAAAAACAGTAAGAGTAAACATTCGCACATGTCTTTTACTAAGGAAACAAGTATAGGTTTTGCTTTATAACTTGAAAGATTCAAAGAGTTCACACTTGAACTTCACTCTGGCAAGTAACTTTGCCCAGCCAGGCTAGACTAGCCTAACAGTTTTTAACCTGTGCTTTCTGACTGGTGAAATATGTAGGAGTGGAGGTTAATATACTGGGATTTAGCTAAGCTGTCATTTCAGGGTAGGTTAGGGTACCCTTTGATATACGTCCAAAAACACTTAATACTTAGCCGGCTTCTAGCAGATGCCCTGTGTTGTACTAACCTGTGTCCTGTCTCCCAGACCAGATTGGGATCTCCTGTAGGGCAGAATTCATTTTTCTCTGGCACTGTAGGTGCCCAGAAAATATTCGCTAAATGGGTAAAAGCCACTTGTTCAACTCTGCTACTTGATGCCACTTGTTCAACTCTGCTACTTGATACCTTGTCTACAACATCCTAGATAATTTGTGGGCCAGACCTTATTTGTTTAATTCCAGTGACAAAAAATCCTAACTTCTTAACGTATCGCCCCACCCATTCTTTTGGACCACTCTAATTGCCATATTTTTTATTGTGAATTATAAGTAAGTTTCCTACCTCACTGACCCTGAAGTCTGTTAGTTTGTAAACCATAAACTCTAGTCTATTTATACTTCTGGGAGATAGAAGAGAAAAAAATAAATTCTTTGCATAAAAAGATAACTTCATAAATCTGAAAGAACATTAAAAAAACATAGAATTGATTCACCTTAGTTTACAGATGAGATTCCCTGAGATCCCGGTTTGGCCTGAGGGGCGGCGACCGGATCGCAATGCCAGGATAAACGCGCCGTTGGTCAAGCTGTCTGGGATTTCTGATTCATCTTCAAGTGACTGACCTCACCTGTTTCACTCACTGTCCCATCCAAGTCTTTGAATATTTTTTTCATGTTCCTCTCTAAAACGAGTTCTCTGGTTAAATATTCGAGGAAATATCTGTTCAGATTTAAACTGGTTTTTTTTTGCCTTTTGGACTTCTCAAAGACTTTCATACACTAATGTGCCCTGTGACTTTTCAAGCAATGGTTACAACATCTTGAAGGAGTACAAATGAATGTCCCAAAGATTTAATGTTCAAGTAATACACTTTGGAAATTATGCCCCTATTCTAAACATAGTTTTTTTCAGATATTCCCCTGATGAAGTGATTGGCAAACATTCAGTAACTAATCTTGGCATGTTTAGAACCACATAGGAAGCCTCATATGTAGATACAGCAGATTTTAATGGTGCTCCAATAAAATTATAGAAACCATGAATATTACATTATAGAGCCAATTGGGATTCTATCATTTTTATTTATTTAGTCAAATACAGATTTAAAAAATTACTTGAAGTTTGGGAGAACTCTTTTTTTTTTCAAACGTATTAAGTTATAAATAAAGAACAATAAATTACACATATGTAAATTGTGCTACTTTATTGTTTTTGACATATGTTTATAATGTAAAACTGTGACCAAAAATCAAGATAACAAATATACACATCATCCTAAAAAGGTTTTTTGTACCCTATTATAATGTCTACTACTGCCCTCTGCCACTCCTAGCAACTAAGCTGCTTTTTATCACTAAAGAATGGTGTGAATTTTTTAGAATGTTATATAAAAGGAACCATAAAGCTTATACTCATTGGGTTTTCTTTTAGGGGGTCTGGCTTTTTTCACTCAGCATAATATTAATAGTTTTGACATTCATCTATGCTGTTGCATATATATATCAAAGTTCATGGTTTGTTTATTTTACCACTGATTACTTTTCCAGGTACAAATATTAGTGCCATTCAATTATTTATTGAATGCACTATTCAATTCCAAGTAAAATTGTTTATCCATTCACCTGTTGATGAAGATTTGAGTTGTTTACAGACATTAACTTTTAAAATGTAAAGTGGCTATGAACATTTTTGAACATGCCTTTGTGTGAATGTTTCTTTCTCTTAGGTAAATATCTTGGGAGTGGAAGGCTGGGTCATTTTGTAGGCATGCTGTTCTTTTGAAGTAGTATTTTTCTGTACTATTACTCTTTTAGAGTGAACT